TGCTTTATTAATTTAGGCACATTGACACAAGGGAACTACTGTACGATTTTGTTTTTATAATAAGTAATATATAATGCCAGATATTTTAATTGGAACAATTCTAAATTATGTACAGAAACTCAAAGAACAAAGAACAAAGAACACAGCCCACCAAGCCTGCGCCAATTCCTAATCCTTATTTAGACTCGCTACTTATTGCCTATACGCAGTTTCTATCCTTCTGTTTGCCTCCCATTTATGCATCTATCAGGATACACCTTAAATGTTGCTATCGTGCCTGCTTCCACCACCTCCGCTGGCAGTGCACTCTAGGTACCCACCACCCTCTGTGTGAAAAAGTTTCCCGCACTTCTCCCCTAAATTTTACCCCTCTCATCTTGAATCTGTGCCCTCTTGTAGCTGACCCTTCCACCCTAGGAAAAAGCCTCTGACTATCCATTCTATCTATGCCTCTCATAATTTTGTAGATCTCTTTCAAGTCATCCCTCAGCCTTCATCTTTTTAGTGAAAACAATCAGAGTTTATCCAACATCTCCTCATAACTAAAACCCTCCAGACCGAGCAACATCCTGGTAAACCTTCTCTGCACCCTCTCTAAAATGCCCACGTCATTCTGGTAGTGTGGCAACAAGTACTGCACACAATATTCCACATGTGGCCTAATTAAAATTATATACAGTTGGAACATAACTTGTCAACTTTTACATTCGATGCCCCAGCCGATGAAGGCAAGTGTGCTGTATGCTTTCTAGACCACCTTATCCAACTTGTTGCCACTTTCAGAGATCTGTGGACCTGTGTACTTATTTAATATGCATTCATGATTAATGATTCTTTTGCTCTGCAATAATTTCAATGGAAAAAATAGAAATCTTGCCATCAATTAGTTTAATAAAAATCCAGTGCTGGGTATTTTGATTCTGATTGAAATTAACAACTGTATAATAAATTTTATGAATCTCTGTATTTGCTATTTCTCCAATGTGAACTATAAAATGTGAAAATGAATTGTGGACAAGAACTCATTTGATACATTTTTAATTGAAGTGCTAATTTCGATAATGTTGACTCCTAATAATTTGATCGGAGAAAATTATTTGAGATAATTAGATCAAATGTGTTTCATTTCAAGTCCAATAACACCTATTTTTTCAGACTAGAATCCTTCTGAAAACTGATGGCACTTGTTACTGGTTGTTCATTAATTGCAAGATGTGCAATAACGTTAAGAATGAATATTCAATTTTCAAAATATTTATCCAATTATCCAAAAAGATAATTTTACTAAATCAATCATGCTTTAAATGAAGGAATCATCTGTAACATCAATCCAATTAGAGGTATTTATAAACATCCAGTTATGTTTGAAAATTCCATCTTGGAATACAATACTGATTATCTGAAGAAATCAAGTTCGCATTTCATAGACTGTGTAAATACATCACATCTTCCAAAAATGAAGCCTAGGGGATCAGGTCAAAAAGAAGATTGAGATACAAGAGAAAACACCTATCATAATTTAAACAGCAGGCTGCAAATTTGGCGAACAGATAGAACACTACTGTTGCAATAAAACTCTTTCCTTCTAAGTTAATAATTATACTGACAAGGCCAAGAAAGTCAGCAGAAAATGTAAAATTCAATTAGTTGCAAATATAGCAGCTACTGGATTGTTTGTCTTCTTATGAGATCATATTGTTAAATAAACTTTTAGATAAGTTTTGAGAATATGTTTTTTTATCTTCAGATAGGAAATATAGCCAGTCAATACTTGCATCCCAGAGGTAGAGTGAGGATATCCTTCAGGGATTGCGAGATTGGACAGTAGCCAATTTAGTACCTAATTTTAAAAAGGGAGACAGAGCCAGGTAATTACAGGCAACTTACTTTAATACGAATGATTACATTTAGTATACATGGACTTCATAAAAGCCTTTGACAACATACCATATGGGAGATTACTGGAGAAGGCTAATGGGGATTTAAATGATGGAAAGACAGCAAACTGGATTAAAACTGTAAGAAGGGAGAAAAAAGGACTAGTTCTTATATTTTTTTGTTACAGTTGAAAGTGAGTAGTCATAGCCATCAAGTTCAAATTTGAGCCACATCTGCTCATTCTGTATATGATGATTTGGATGTAGGCCAAGAGAAAGTTGAAATCTGCAGACCACACCAAAATAGATTTGGTTAAGTCTTTAAAAGACAAAAGAAAACAGCAAAGGATTATTGATGAGCAAATGGATTAAAAAAAAGGTGAAATTCAATGTCAGCAAGTATGGTGTAACGTGTCTTGGTAAAAATAACTTGTGTTAACTATATTTTAAACACAAGTATGTTTGATGCTTTGGTCAAATGAAGACATTTTAAGGTGCAGTTTCACAAAAATTAAAACATCCAGGTTTTAATAAGTAATTTTTTAAAAAGCGAGTCAGGTTCTTTGTTTTAAAATGAATTAACGAAAGGGCCCTCATTCTTGATATCTCAACTACTAAAAAGGTCTGTTTCACCTACCCTACTTAATCCATTCATTACCAGAAATACTCATTATACTTTCTCTCAAGTATCTATACCTTTTCTTTATCATAGAGTGCAAAACTGCCCATAGAGCTCCTTAATTTTTATGAAGGTTTTACAAAGGTTTGTCATTACCTCTTGGTTTTAATATTCACAAAGAACAAATTGTTGACACAGCTTAAATACTGGCATACTGTTTGGGCAGAATGGCTTGTATTCATGTTGTAACTGCATGCACATATATGATTGCAAGGAGAAACATGCAGGTCAAAAATTATTTCCTTAATAGTGACACCTTTTTCTAAAGTCCGCCAGGTGCCTCATATTCCTCGTTGACATGCTCATGTCCAGATTATGTTACTGAGACAGTGACAGCCAAATGCAGAGTTACTATTGTCCCGAACCGTTGCGCATGCATGTTTTGTTTGTAAGGATGCATCTCATTTGGTTAAGCTCATAAATCTTAAATCTAAATTTGCAAAACCAAGACTGGCTTAATGCATGCAAGTCTATACTGTTGGGGGTTTAACCAATTGCAGTTTACCAGAGTTGTTTCCCTCCGATTATCGTGCTAGCGCTACCTTAACAACAGTGCATTTGCTCACAGGGCTCTGAAGGCAAATGGGAAGAATGCCAGCTTCTAATGAAACCGTTTAGGTTTCTCTTGAAAGATAGATTGGTTAGTGATCAACTGTACCCTGGATGGAGTACTGTGGACCTGTCAGGTTCTAGATTACCAAATCTGCTAAACAGGGCTGACTTAGTTCTGAACGTTCACTACTGAGACCAGACTTAGAGTCATAGAGTCATAAGCACAGAAACAGACCCTTCGGCCCAACCAGTCTATGCCAACTATGATCCCAAACTAAACTTATATCATCTATCTGCACTTGGCCCATATCCCTCCAAATATTTCCTGTTCATGTACTTATCTAAATGTCTGTTAAATGTTGTAATTGTACCCACATTCACCAGCTTCTCTGGAAGTTCATTCTACGCACAAACCATTCTGTGTTAAAAAAAAGCCTCTTGTGTCTTTTTAAATCTTTCTCCTCTCACGTTAAAAATATGACCCCTAGTCTTGAACTCCCCACCCTAGGGAAAAGACACATGCCATTCATCTTATCTATACCCCTCATGATTTTATAAACTTCTATAAGGTCACTCCTCAACTTCCCACACTTCAGTAAAAAAGTCCCAGTCTATCCAGCCTCTCCCTATAACTCAAACCCTCCATTCTGGCAACATCCCAGTAAATATTTTCTGAACCCTCTCCAGCTTAATAATATCCTTCCTATAACAGGGCGACCAGAACTGAACACACCAGAAGAGGGCTCACCAACGTTTTGTACAACCTCAACATAACATCCCAATTCCTATACTCAAAGGTCTGGTGGGCAATGAATGCAAGCATGCTCAGTGTCTTCTTAACCATCCTATCTATATGTGATGCAAACTTTGAAGAATTATGTACCTGAATCCCTTGGTCTCTCTGTACCACATCACTTCCCAAGGCACTACTTTTAATTGTATAAGTCCTGCCCTTGTTTGTTTTACCAAAATGCAACACCTCGCATTTATCCAAATTAAACTCCCATCTGCCACTCTTCAGCCCATCGACTTCCTGGAACATCTTGATACCGAGGAGACGCCAATTAGCTCCACTGCAAGTTATGTTTGATAAACTAAAAGTCAGTGCTTCCCAAAGTGGGGTAGGGGACCCCAAGCTAGATTGCAAGCTCTGACCAAGTGATGATGGCCGCACTCCCTCTTTAAAAGGCTTCTGCTCTCCAAGTTCTCACTGAGGGCCTGCAACAATTATCAAGCCTCAAAATGAGATCATAGCGGGTGAAAAAAACTTTGGGAAGCATGGCTAAAAGTGATGAGAAAAACATGAACTTCTGTGCCCCACGTTCACACAGTAGTGACAGGAATTATTTCCTCTTCGACGGCTAAGACCTATTTCCTCCACAAAGCTTTTAGATAAAATCATGACTTTTTTTTCTAAATAAAATCTGATAACTTTTGTTGGTTAACGATGCATTGTGTTTTTACGCCTGTCGAGTGAAGTCACAAATCTTTTCCCCCACCTTCACACGAACCTTTTTAAAAAAAAGAACCGAAATTGCAAAATGGAAAAGTCATCTTTAGTTTACATTCAGTTCTGTCACTCGTGGTACATGTTGATACAGTTACCATGACGACCGATGAGAAAGAAATCGCAAATAACGTCGAACGAGCGGCCAGGAAAAGGACGAAAAGCAAACAACTGGGATTTTTTAAAAAAACCGCACGTTAAAAAAAAAATGCAGACGTTGAGTAAGCGCCAAAGAATGACATTTAGGAAAATATAGAGTATTTAGGTGTAAGATGATGCTTTAGAGTCTTTTGGTGTAAGAGTTGTGAGGGAGGGTTTTGTTTATTTTTCTCTCTGGAATTGAATGCTGATTATTGTTAATAATCGATGGCCGTCAGGCTCTTACCTCCATCCGCGTACTTCTCGGTGCCGTAACCGTCCTGGAGGCCGTTATTCCAGGTGCCCTCATACCTGGCCCCGCTGGCCTGGCTCTGCCTGACCCCGTACCTGCCCTTGAAGCCGTGGGTCCACTCGCCCTTGTAGACCCAGCGGCCCTTGGTCTCCGAGCCCAGGCCGTGCCTCTTGCCCTGGGACCAGTAACCCTGGTAGGTGTTGCCGCTGGGCCAGGTGTAGACGCCGACCACCTCGAAGCCGTAGTTCCAGGAGCCCGAGTACTCGCCCTGGCCCTTGGGTCCGGTGCAGATGCCGTGGCCGTGAGCCTTGCCGCCCTCCCAGCCTCCGCAGTACGCCCCGCCATCGTCGAAATCAAAGCGTCCTCCGCTCATGCATGAAACGGGTGTGTGGGGTGCCGCCCCCCGGGGGGGGGGATCACACAGAAGAGAGAGAAAAAATTTAAAACAAAAATATATAATTTATATTTTTTTTTGAAAGGAGGGTCTGTGCGTGCCCTGCGGAGTACAGAGGGAAGGGGTCGGGGGTTTGATGTGAATTTAAATGAAGCAGGAGGGAGGAAGGTACCGGTGATGGAGGGAGGGAGGGGGGTGTGTAGGTGGAGAGGGGGGTGGCACAGGGTGATCCCAGCAGCAGCAGCAGGTAAACCTTACCCACCCCCCCTCCGCCTCCTCCTCCCGCCCGGATCCGAGCTCAGGGACTGTTCCCCGGCCAGCGGCCAGGCGTCAGTGCGGGAGCAGTCAGGGAGGGAGCCTCTGCTTTCACCCCCCACCCCCCTCACTCCTCTCACACACACACACACACAGGGAGCCGGAATGTTATAACATACCTAACAAGGCTATCAGATCCCACTCAGCTCCAAAAATAAAACCCAATCAACAATCTCCGCAAACGCCTTTTCAAAAAAAAATCCCTGTGTCCTGGGTTGGGGAAGAAGGGGGATGGTCTCAACTAATATTTCAGACTGTGATCACACAATGTAATAAACCAAAGTCCATTTACTTCAAAAATACGTAGTGTATAACCCGGCATCTCGTTACATTTCACGCCCCTGCACAATTCAAGGATTCATCCTGTAATTTTCCTTTTATAAAAATCTTGATTCACTCTTGCTCATGAAGTGTAAACGATTTCTTTTCCGGTCTTTTAGCTCACCATAATTTTTATCGGAGGACAACGTTTTTTTGTTGGTTTATCTTTCAATACGCTTCCCGGAAACTTAGCAACAATTCAGTGCCCCTTAGGAGTAGTCTGCACTGACAGGTCTCCTTCCAAGTAAGCTTTCCGAGAAAAATTCCCCATGTGTCACTGAGACCCTTATCTCTTTAACTGGATTTGGATTGAAATAGCCTTTGCTGTTCTGGTGAACTTTTATTGCTAAGTCTGAGATGATTGTTTCAAAGGTTTATGGCATAAACAGATGTTTGAGTCGTGGGTGGGAGGACCCAGCAAATTCCGTTCACCTCAGGTGACAAAATGTGTCAATAAATAGGTGCGGTACACTAAAGCTTCGAAAATTGTGTTGATTCACGCCCTCGTCAAAACACGATAACTGTCAACTACATAAGCTGCATTTCTACTCTCACTATACTACTCACCCTTTTCTTCTACATTAACTATACATTGTTCAGGTGCAACAACATTTACTCCGCTTAAAATATGTTTGTGCTGCAACTACCATTTTTGCTTCAAATATCTTTAATTGAACTGTTTGGATGCACCACTGAATGACTGGTTGTGTTGTGAAACTGAATTTTCCGGAAAGCAATAAAGTAATATTCTGCGTGTGGACCTCTGACGGACAGATTCCTAGTTATGCATGTAAACAGTAACGTTGATAAAGAGTTCACATCCATAATGGTTTCCTTTTCCTCCACATAGCACCGATTATAAAGTTTTTTTTTATGCGGGAAAGTGTAAACAAGATGGGCTGAATGGCCTCCTTTGTGCCATTAAGACTTCTGTGATTTTGTGGGACCCAGTGTGAGCCCAAAATTTGGAAAACCATTTTTATAGCTCGTTACGCAGAGAGCCCTCTCTCGCAAAACAAGAAAATTACATTCGGAATTTCTAAAACCCAGCAACAAAACGGACAATAGATATACAGTAGTATCATAATATGCCACCATTGAGACAAAATAGCTCCAGGAATTATCCATTTTCCTCGTTAAGTTTTCATAAAGTGTTAAAAAGAAAGTAATACAAATGGTTCAATTAGAACATATTAAGACGCTCTGGATTAAAAGTTGGATCAAACAGCACCTGTTTTACATTGGCGTCAAACAGGTGTCTAAGAGTCCCTGGCAGATGGCCTGTACAGACGCATTCCACACCAGGCGTTGGTTAAGGTTCAAACTTAGGCATCCAGTCTGAGTGCCCAAACATGGAATTAAGTTAATTGCACATGACATTATTATTATCATATTTCATATCTCCAAACAACTGCTGAGCATCCACAATAGTTGAGTTTCAGCTTGACTTGTAGCGAAGGATCCACCCTAGTCATCCAGATCCAGAGAACTTAAGTGCAGAATAAAAACTAGAGGGCATTGCTCAAGCTTAGCCAAGTAATGTAGACATACCTCCATAGAATACTTATGAATTATTCATGTTAAACATGGTAAGTAAATGTAAGAGTACTGGCTCCGAAATCACAAGATGGTAACCAACTGAAGTAATATGAACTACATTTTTTGAAGTTATTAAGACTCTTAAGCGTTTTTATACTATATTGCTTAAGGATCAAAGTGAAGAAATTTCTAATGGTGACATTACAGTGACATTGCTGGATATTAAGAAAAATATGAACTTGTTTAATAAACCAATAAATTCAAAATGAAGGTTCATCTGGAGTTAAATCATGTTGGAAAATACTACCATACCATTAGATTTTTTTTAATCAACCCCTTCCAACCATAGCTCTGGAGCATGTGGACTCAGGCCATCTGGCCCAGAGGTAATGAACTGTAACACTGCCCCACATGAGTTCTACTATTATACCAATAGATATTTCCTAATCATTCTGTTCAGTTATATAATGACACACCTCTGGAACAGGTGGGTCTTGAACCTGGGCTTACTAGTCCAGAGGTAGGGACACTACCACTGCATTACTACAGCCCCTAGCTTGACTTGTAATGAAGGATCTACCCTAGTCACCCAGATCCACATTAGTAATATCTACATTAGTTGGCTAAGCTTGAGCAGTGCCGTATAGTCTTTATTCTGCTAGACCAGAAGAGGTATTTTCTAAACAAAATGTTCAGCTATCTTATGACAGACCTCTGGAGCAGGTCTCTTAGCTCCTGGTAGGGACAGTACCACAAGAACGTCTTACTACTAGACCAGTAGATAGTTTTGAATCTACTTGTTTGGAGATGTTATAACATGCCTCTGCAGCAAGTGGAACTTGAACCCAGGTCACCCAGCCCAGAGGTAGGGACATCACGACTGTGCCAAGACAGCCTACTGTAAGACCAGTAAAGTGTCACTAATAAGGTATCTCACCTGTGAGAGCTTTATGGTGGAAAACCTGTTTTGCAATCAAATCAGTCTACTAGCAAAATGAAGGTAAAATATCTTGTACTGAAATGGGTGAAATTACCAACTTGCAAATTGAGGTTTTGTATATAGCTATGACAACTATGACACACAATGACATGTGCAAATGAGCAATATGATTTCTGTGATGCAAAAGATATTTTGCAAGGCACCATTGCAATATCAGGCTGCCTGTTCGTGTAACAAAGAAAACTTTGCGAGCTAACTTTTGAAGTTTTGATGCACTTTTCATTTCCTTTCTTATCCTTCACCTAGAAAAATAATTCAATCTTGTTAACCCTTCCCCTCTCTGTATATATTTTAAGAGTGTCACCATTAAGTTTTATCATAATATTTTCTCCTTTCTCAGTCATGGATATGTAATTAAAAATGAATGTTACAAAACAGCAGCATGAATCTGAAAAACAAATTAATTTTTAAATGTCAAATGCCGTGACCTATAATGTTGTGGAGAAATCATGCTTTGGTAAAAGCTGCAGTAGTTTTGTATAACTATACTATAGCAAAGAGTGAATACAGGTAGAAGGTTAAAACTCAAAGCGTAAAGTACATGTCTCTAAAAACAGGTTGGAAAATTATTTAGAGATAGCAAGAACTGCAGATGCTGGAGTCAGAGACAACACAGTATGGAGCTGGAGGAACACAGCAGGCCAGGCAGCATCAGAGGAGCAGGAAAGTTGACTTTTCGGGTTGGGACCCTTCTTCAGAAATGGGGAAGGGGGAAGGGAACTGGGAAGTAGAAAAAGGAGGGGTGGGACTGGGAAAGGTAGGTGGGATGGTGATAGGTGAGTGCAGGCAGGGAGTGGTGGGGATTAGTCGGTGGGATGGGTGGGGCAGATACGTGGGAGATGGATGAGGCCAGGGTTGGAGAGATTTTAAAACTGGTGAATTCCATGTTTAGGCTATTGACTGTAGGCTCCTGAGGTGGAATATGAGGTGTGTTGCTCCTCCAGTTTGCAGGTGGTGTCATTGTGACACTGGAGGAGGCCCAGGGTGGACCTGTCACCCAGGAAGTGGGAGGGGGAGTTAAAATGGTTGGCGAATGGAAGGTATTGTCATTTGTTGCATACAGAGCACAGATGCTCTACAAAATGGTCTCCAAGTCTACACTTGATCCCACCAATGTAGAGGAGGCGACATCGGGAGCAGCAGATACAGTAGACCAAGTTGACAGATGTGCAGGTGAACCCCTGTCTGATATGATAGGTTTGTTTTGTGCCTTGAAGGGAGGTGAGGAGATAGGTGTAGGGGCAGATGTAGTACTTCCGGTGGTTGCAGGGAAAGGTGCTGGGAGTGGTGGGGTTAGTGGGGAGTGTGGATCGGATGAGGGAGTCGCAGAGAGAGTGGTACCTACAAAAGGCAGATAGAGGTGGGGAGGGAAATATCTTTTTGGTTGTGGGGTCGGATTGTAGGTGGCGGAAGTGGTGGAGAATGATACGTTGGATACGGAGGTTAGTGGGATGATATGTGAGGACATGGGGGATTCTATCTTTATTTTCGTTAGGAGGAGAGGATGTGAGGGCACAAGTGTGGGAAATGTAAGAGATGCGGTTGGGGGCATTTGATCACTGTAGGGGGGAAGTGACCAATCCCCACCACTGCCTACCTGCACTTAACTATCACCATCCCATCTACCTTCCCCAGCCCCACCCCTCCTCTCTCTATTTATTTCTGAGCTCCCTTCCCCGTTACCATTTCTGAAGAAGGGTCCCGACCCAAAACATCAGCTTTCCTGCTCCTCTGATGCTGATACCTGCTGTGTTCCTCCAGCTCCACACTGTGTTGTATCTGGAAAATTATTTGTGGTTAATTTTCATCTATCTTTGAATATTATATGTAAGAGTGTCAATTCCATATGAATGTTAATATTCTAGAAGTGTTCAAACCTCTCTAATCAACTTATTTTCATCATTATTCATGGAACCCTGTATGAAAAATAACATAGGAAATAGAAGAGTAAGCCAATTGATGCATTGAGCCTGCTCTGTTATTCAACAGCATCCTGATTAATTTTGGGGGTGCACAGTAGGTCAGTGGTTAGCACTGCTGCCTCACAGTGCCAGGGACCTGAGTTCAATTCCACCCTT